GAAACTATTTAGTTTTTTAATAAACATTCTTCACTGATGTCTTGCCTGCCTACCTCCATTCTTTGAATTGAATTATGATTATTTTGATCTGTTTTAGTAAGAATGATCTGTTAACTTTAAATTTAGTAGCATACTGATTTGACACATCTCTAGTAATACTTATTTTTGGTTGGACTATTGTGTGTTTTGTAAAATTTGTTGAATGTCATCTGTTCATGATTATCAGAGTTAGAAGATTTGGTGGTTATTCCCTTAAAAATTTATGGTGTCTGAGTTGAACATTTTTGGGTCACCACTTAATTGAAATCTCTGGACCTTCTGATAATATTTTTTCCTCTGTGAACATACAACTTTTGCTATGTACCGTTATTATGCTAATAGTATTGCTATGTATCTAATTGCTGGTACCTAATAAAGTACCAGCTGGCAGTATGATGTTAAGCAAATAACTTACTTCCTTGAACCTTAATATGAAGTAGGGATAATGAGTTTTTTTAAAAGACTTACTTGGGCCCTCCCTGGTGGCGCAGCGGGTTAAAGCACTGCACTACGAAGCTTAAGCCATGCACTACGAAGCTTAAGCCACTTCCTCATGAGTTCGATTCCCGCCTGCCCCGGAGGAGTCCACATGGCGAGGCAGACCTCTCCTGACCCGCCCGCTGCTCCCCTCAGCAGTGTACTTCGTTGATCTGCCTGTTCTGCTCCCCACTCTGTCTCTGGTGAATCCTCTCACCCTCCGCATCTCTGGCCTGTACCCCAGTTCTATATGAATAAATAAATAAATCTTTAAAAAAAAATAGACTTACTTTTATTTATGCATGTAAGAGCTGGGCATAGGCCAGAGGTGTGGTAGGGGTTGGGGGATGTGAGAGGATTCACCAGAGACAGAATGGGGAGCAGAACAGACAGACTGAAATACACAACTGAGGGGAGCAGCGGGCAAGGCAAGAGGTCTGCTGTGCCATATGGATCAGCTCCCTGGCTGGGGATTGAATTCATGTTGCAGTGGCTGGCAATAGCTTCATAGTACTAAGACTTAACCCCTTATACCACAAGGGAGGCCTAAGGTAATAATTTTTATAATCACTCAAAGTTATTATTTGGAACCTTGTGGTTCATAAGTGAAAGCTCTCTGTTTTCCCTGGCATACTCTGGTTGTGATGTTGGTAATTACCTTTGCTGGTAGTCTTGTTGCCACAGGTGGGCAAGTCGTGACTAACAACCTGTAACAGTTTTCTTCATTTTTTCTGACCTTCTGCCAAACTAATTGTCCTGCACATCTCTGTAGCTACTATCTTACTAGGGATGTTCTTAATTACCATTTGTAATCACCTTCTTCTTTCAAAACATGGTTTGATACTTTGCCCTCTCTCTTTATTCCTACCTTCAAACTATAAGAAATTTGTCCTTTTTCTGAAGTAGGGCCTGTTAATTTTTCTACCCTGTTATACTTACTCATTTCTAACTAGTCTCAAAACCTTGAGCAAGATCATATCTTATCAATCTTTGTATCATCTGTGAAAGTTAATAGTATGAACTACAATGACAGAGACTTACTATGAGTTGCTGAGTGAATGAATATGTGTCTGACATTGGTAATTCACTCATGTGGAATATCAGGGATAAGATTAACAAACTGCTTTAGGTTAGGTGAGCTGAAAAATACTCTACTACCTATTGCATTGTGGGCTGGGTTTAATAAAAATTGTATGGCTCTGCAGGCATGGGTGTATTTATTGTTTTATATATATTTTCAGTTTCAGGTGTGTCCCAAAAGTCTGTGTGTGTCTACTCCTGGACACCGTACTGATCTTTTTCAGAGGGATCCTAAAAATGTCCTAATAACTGATTTCTTTGGAAGTGTACGGAAAGTGGAAATTACAACAGATACTATTAGTCTGCAACCAGTTTCAGGAACCATGGAAAGCAGGTATTAATGTGAAATTATTATTTGAATAGAATATTTTGTTCTCACAATGTATAATTTTTATGGACAGTAATATTAAAAGATGAAAGTTGGTGCTTGTGAAGATTATACAGTTTTATATGATCTTCACTTTATGTAGGCCCCAGTTTTTCACATTTATGAGATAAAGCTATGATTATTAGTAGGAAGGCAAGAGCATGATTAGGATTTTGTGGTAACTCCCATGTATGTTTGTAGTGGTATGATACATATATATATATAAAACATATATAAAGTCTTTTAAACCATATATGAACCTTTTTGTAAAAGGATGAGTATATAAAAATATGAAGCTATATATATATATATATACATATATACACATATCTATACACACATATACACGTTTATATATATATACATATTTATATATATGTGTGTGTGTGTTTAACTAGTGTATGTGCTATGTGCTGTTAACTGTTCTGTTAGAAGGTATTAATGATATTAAATGATGTGACATTGAGTAGGGAAGTTGGCAGCCAGATATTTAGATATTACATCTGTCAGATAAACACAAAAAGGGCAGTGCTGAGAATCCGTAGTTGCCCAAATACATACTTCAAACTATGAGTTAGTGTTTTCATGTTCAGAATTTCTCAACGTTCCAATTATCTGATTAATTTTTTGACTGCCATGTATTTTGGTTCTTGAGTGTGGGTGGTTTTATAAATTGGTTCATTCTTCTCTCTGGCTTTCCTCTATTGTATTCTATTAATCTTGAACTGTTTATTTTGAACTATTGTGAATGTGAAGTTGGCCCCGTCAATAAGTACCACTGTTTAGAATTTCCTTGGTTGCTTTTGATAATTCATAGAGAAGAGAAAAACAGAGGAAAGAAAAATTGTTATGTGAGCAAGCAGATCATGCATACATGTAGTGTGTGTGTGTGTGAGAGAGAGAGAGAAAGAGAGAGAGAGGAGAGAAAAAGAGAATGACAAACATTGATGGTTGGTATGAATTTCACAGCAGGTGGCACACAATGCCTTTCTTTTCCCTTGACTTAACCCTGTAAGTATATAAGATTCACTTTTACTTAACCAGCTATAAACATTACATCAATTTCCTTGATAGTCTATTTTTTCCATGTATCACGATATTAAATATGTAATAATTGTGCATCAAGATATGATTTTACTGGAATTCTACTGTTACATATTCTGGAAGAATGGAAATTTGTTTCAAATTATCTCTGTTATCAAAAGTAAAAATTGTTGGTGCTGATGATTATCTCGATTTGTTTTCAATTTTGAGAAAATTATTTTAAGCATCATAGTTAGATACTAGACACTTGAATTAGAGCACCCTCTAGTGTTTATAGTTTATTTATTTAGACTCGTTTATAGTAGACAGCCTCATAATTTCTGGTATACTTTATCTGATTAATTTAGGAGAATTAGATTACCAGCATGCTCCAGGAACTTTTCCATTGATTTAAAAATATTATCTTTTTGTATATAGGTGCTATTTCTATGCAATATGAATGCCAATTGGAGTTTGGAGGACAGTGTTTTCATAAGAGATGAGATTTCCAAAAAAAAAAGGCATTTGTGGGCTAGAATACATATGGTTGTTTTTAGAATCTTGGATTAAAAATGTCAGTACAATTAGTATTACTAAAATTGACAGCTGTACATATATTAAGGGAAAACACAACAATTGATTTGGATTGTTCCAACTTTATACTAGATTAAAATTGACATATAGAGAATTTATAGTAAATAAAATTGACTGAAGCAGCTATATGATATAGTTCTCATGTCTTCTGAAACTTACATATAGTCATAGTAACAACATTGTGTCTTACTGTATGTGTTTCTAATTGTGTTAATATTTTATAAGAATAAATGAGGTAAAATAAAGACAGTGAGGTAAGCTTAACATATAATTGATTCTAAACTGTATTATAGGCCAACTTTTGGTAAGTATACAGACAAAAACAACTTGCCCTCAAAGAATTGGGTCTGCTAGAATATAGTTATAGACTGATGTCAGCATTACTCAGATATCAGTATGCTAATAACTGTATAATTTCCTGTACATACAGTATGGGAAAAAATAGCCTCCTGTTTGTGGCTGTAAAAATATAGGCACATTTTAGTGTAGTGGAAATTTAATTTTTTTTAGCATTGTTCAAGATAAAAGAAAATCCTAAACAATATGAGCTATAAACAATCAATCTAGTCAACTAGATGAAAATTTACTTTCTGTGAATTTTTTGCTTTAGGCTCTAACTTGATTCTATTTATGATTTTTTGTTGTTGTAATTTTTATTCTGCTATACTAGAATTTCTCTCAAGTCTGTCCTTAGCAATTAAACATTTTTGGGTCTAGCAGGAAATTTGAGGCTGAACTCTTTTCTTATAGATTTTTAATAGACCTCAATAGATGGACAAGTAAGACTCATCAAAATCAGACTGTATTGAGCACCAGAGTAAGACTCTTCAAGGAGTGGTAAGGAGTTTTTTTCTCCCTCGAGAGGTAAAGATCAGAGAATTACTACCCCAGTCAGCATATTTTGAGCCTTTCCTGAAGATTTACACACTATATAATACATTTAAGAAGGACTTCTGGGTTGTAAATAATAGAATCCTACCTGTGCTTATTTTTTTTAAGGACAATTGTTATACAGATACTCTGTGTTATATGGAATGCAAGGGCAGGTCCCACTGACGGGCTGGAATCAGAACCAGAAATCCATCAGAAAAGCATCTAGTACATTTTTCATTTTGTGATTTTATTCTTTTTTCTTTCTGCTCTGGTCATATAGAGGATAGGATGTGTGCACATTATTATTCTGGAGATTTAGGTTTCTTCTGCTCATGATAAAGCCCAGCCAGAATGAACTTGCTCATTTCCTGTAAGCTCCCTGGAGGGCTTCATGATTATCTCAGCTTGGGCCAGATACCTGTCTCTGGTCCAGCTGTGTAGCAGTGGTGATACAAAATTATGTTCTCCTATCCCATGCAGATAAGATGAATCCTAAAAGGGAAATTGGGAACTAAGCAGATACCCCTAATGATGTTTTCATTGAATTCACATGATGACTTTTTGAGCAAGTTAGTAAACTGAGACTGAGAAAGGTTAAAAACAGCCCAAAGTCAGTCATTTAAGAAATGGCATGGCCAACATATAAGTTCAGAAATACCTCATATAGATAACTTTATAGTTTTTATAGAGTACTGTATACATATACACATATGTAAAAATAAAAATACATACAAATATATACATATTCTTTTTAATTTATCCTGAGTTACTTGGCATACTTTTTTTTTAAAAAGGACATGAAACATAGATATTAGCTCAGTTAATTATCACAATGTAATTACTCAGTGAACCACCAAAGAAAGAAATAGAACAATGTTGGTCCAGTGGAAGCTCTCCTAACCATTTTGGTTTTTCCCACTCTCTACCTTCTCACTTCTCAAAGTTAACTGTTATATCAACTTTTATGGAGTTTACTTTCTTTCTCTTCATTTTAGTTTTTCTCATGCTCTTTGTTTTAGTTTTCTCACATAAGTACATATTTCTAAACATGGTGTTTTGATTCTTTTGCTGTTATTATGTTGTTGGAACTTAAGTTGTATACAACTATAGTTTATTTTTTTGAGTATTAAAAACTTGAGTTCTAATTTCTTTATTCATCCTTTATGGTGTTTAGTTCTGAGTTTTAACAAAGCACATTCATTTGGATAATCATGCCAATCTGTCATTTCAGGAAATTTCCTTATATCCCCTTTTATCAAGTTATTGTGTACATGGAAACCACTGCTCTATTTGCTACTTTTTCCTGAATGACACATAGATGAGATCATACATTCTATTTATTTTTGAGTGTTAACTTCTTACACTGACAATGCATTTCAGATTCTTGTCTGTTATTACATATATCAGCATTTTCACCCTTTTATTGCTGAGCAGTAATCACTAATAATAAAAATAAAAAAGGAACACATTACTGATTTTTTTAATATAGTTTATTCATTCTGGTACTGACATGTAATTTGCATTGAATTAGCTTGTCCATTTCTGAAGAAGCCTTCTGATAATTCCTACATTGACTGTTTACTTGAGGAGTATGGACACTTTAGCAATACTGAATTTTCTAACCCATATACATATTTTTAAATTTGTTTCAATCTATATAACTTCTCTGCATTGTTTCATAGTTTTTAGTGCATATGTTGCCACATTTTTTCATTAAATTAATTCCAAAGCATTTTTATTTTGATGCTGTTTTAAGTGATATTTAAGCAATTATGTTGTTCATTGCTCAAATAGAGAAATGCAATCATATTTATATTGGGTATGTTGTATATTGTTAATTAGTTCTGGGGCAATTAACTCAGTCCAAATAAAAATGATGGCAGATCTTTTTTTTGGGTGACATTTTTAAACTGATTCTAAATTCTTATGGAAATGTTAAGGATCTTCTGTAGTATTCATTATATCTTTGAACATATGAATTCTAGTCTATTTATAATATTTTCTAGGAAGTTAATAAAAATTTATATATATTCAGTAGGAACATCTGTTTAGGAATTGGGCAGAATAGATTATGAGAAATATGAAAGTTGTTGATAAAATTAATCACTAAAACTTGCTTATAATAAATTGATGTAATTATGAACCAAAGATCACCAATATAGTTCAAATAATAGTTGACAGGATTTCTCCCCTACTTTTCTACATACTGCTATATTTTTCAAAGTAATTAATTATGTACATTATTATTATGTATTATCTTAAGCATCTTATATTTCATACTGTTGTTTATAATTGTTAATACTTCAGTTATTTAGGGACTTATTAAAGTAGGATTTCAAATGATAAATTAGGTGTGATTATTAGATTTGTAAGACACTGAAACAGACAAGTTATCCATTTTGTCGCTGCATGCATATAAATTTTTTATTGCTATAGTTTACAAATAATGTGTTAATTTCATGGGCAAATTTTTTTTT